AGTTAAGAGTCTTTAAAAGTAAATTTGATAGAAAATATAACAATAGCTAAAGTAATATATTGCAATTTTGGAGGTAAATTAAACATCACTATTTAGCTCAATTTTTGTCAGTCATCTAATTATGCTGCCAATCTATAACTGCAGTTTTTATTATTTATTATTATTATAACAACATAAAGCTACATTATTCTTTCTGGCATTTTTAATAATAGTATTTTATTATCTCTTGAAAAGCAGGACTTCTCTGTAGATTAGGCTAGAAGAAATGTTACATTGAATAAAAGCAAGATCTTCCTTGAGTCCAATGACATCTCAGCCTATGAATATTATGTATTATATCCAATGAACTCTATATACTTGGTAAACTATGAAAGTTCCCAAAATGAACTTCAAGTTAATATATTGTGTATCTTCCTCTCCCATATCCAGTCATTACCTTTTCTCTGATCTCTCTTTGCACTCTCTTGCATTTCTTTTCTTTTATTCCCATTGTCACATCTGCCCAGAACCTCATCACCTTAGAAGTGAATTATTGCAGTAGTTTCTTTGCTCCTGTTCTCTTTCCACCAATCCATCCTGCCTCGTCCTGCTAAACTAATCTCTTTTAAAGCATGGTTTTAATCAGGCCATTCTCCTGCTCAAAATCCTCAATGACACCCATCACCTGGAATCCAAAGCCTTTGGCTGTCTGGCCGGCCTCACCTCCTTTATGACCTTGTCTTTACCAGTTCTCCTGCACAAACTCTAGCCCAGTACCTGGCACATTGATAAATGGTAGCGATTATTATCATTTTTGGTTTGAGAGTTTTCTTTCTCACCCATTACCTCCTATCTTTACGGAAGCAACTGGCTTTCCTAATAGGCAAAGAGCATGAGTGCAAGAGTCTAAAAGATCTGGGTTTAAATTGTGGCACTACCATTTACTAATTTACTTATTTATTTGTTAACCCACCTGAGCCCCACAGATGAAAAGGATATGCAGGGAAAACAACATGTCTTGCAGGGACACTTTGAAGACGAAGAAGGACCTATTTTAAAGTGTCCAGCATCAAGCAGGCACTCTATGAATGGCAGATATAATTCTCAGGAGCTATCTCTCAGATGGGTGCTATCCTGCTGTGTACTGAAGAACCTGTGCTCATGAATATTTTTTAAGTAACAGAAATAGGAAAAATTTTCTCCATTGTATTTCCCTACTCTGAAGAAAAACATAATTTGGTATTACAAAATTATCCTTTATTCATATCCTTTATTCATATAATGACTTACAGTTTATAAAATACCTTTATGCCTTAGGACTATACTCTAAAAATGTTCCCTAAATTAGCCATTTGTTGCTGTATTACATTAATCATCATCCTTGCAATCCATTACCATCAAGATACTTAATAATTAATGATAATGATAAACTGCAAATATTAAGGAGTCTATTATTGTCATAGGCCTATATTTTCAGAAATACTTGACAGTTGAAATCAGTCAAATGAAATTGAGCAATTGATCATAGATTTTTCATCTCAGCAGTAGATCTTGGATGTTGAAGCCTCTTCTAGGCAGGCTTTGAGAAAAAGACACTTATGAAAGTGTTCTCTTAATTTCTCTCTGAATTCTTGAATACTGTTTAAAGAATCATCTAGGTTGCCTGTTCTCATTCAAAATGAAATACAATTTTTAAAAATCTGGTAGTTAATAGAACTTACCCTGTAGATAAATCAGAAGAAACAAATGGGTAACTTCTTTAAATGTAAATACATGCAGTAGGTCACACGCTGAGATTAATGACTTATTATCTAAACACAGTGGGAATGCAATTAAATGCTAAGAAATGAAAAGCACCTGCAGCTTTATAAGACTGAGCTGTTTTTACTATAATAACTGAAACACATGCTTAATAACTCAACAAACACATTTACTTCCCTTCAACATCTACAAGGTCAACAGCAGACATCAACCACAATTTGAAGTGCCATTAATTCCTCTGAAAAACTTTTGAAGAGATCATTTCAGGAAGCAGCATGCTGGATCTCAACGAAGCCCCTAGGGTATTTAAAGTACTCTGGGAAGTGCACACATACTTTTAGAACCATGTATTTAAGGGTAGTATTACTCTTAATCCTTCAAGTAAGTAGTTTGCCACACAACTATTACTTATAAAAAGTAAAAGGCACCAGTCCTGTTTCCAGTATTTTGTACTATGTCCGGTCTTTGGTTTAGTGATAATGCTATTACACCTATAATTAAAACATGATATAACATATGATGAGATTAACTGCCACTGAATAACTGATAACTGAACAGCATTGGAGCAGCCCTGGTACTAGAACAATCTTTTCTAGATCTTTCCCAGAATCCCTACACAGGCATGGTGTGTCTTCATCTTTGGTCTTTGCTCCCTTTCATTGCTTCCACCTTCTTCCCATAACCTTCTAGGGATTTCAGATCATTTTGACACTTTTTAACTGTTTCAGTGTATACATTCGCCAGAACCATAACTATAATTTATGTTTAGAGTGTCATCAATAATTTCAAAGGCATTTTACAAATAAAATATATGGATCTTCATACTAATGTCACATGAGCTGGGGAAAACCGAGGCCTGAGGAGGTTGTGTGACGTGACCGAGTCACTCTAAGTAGGGGGTCAGAATGTAGCATGTGCTTCGTGACTCCGAGTCAGGGCCTCATTCACCTCCATCACTACCTCATCGTTTGCGTGTCTTTGGATTAGACTTGCCTTGGAAATTCTTTCTCACCAGCTGTTGATTTTTGAATATGTTGATTAAACTTTCTAAATTTTAGTTTTCTTGTTGGTAAATGGGGGATAACTGTACCTTCTTCACAGTGTTACTTTGAGGATTCAATAAAATGTTACATATAAAGTAAAAATCCTAAATTAAGCATGTTAAAAAATGTTAGTTCCTCTAATCTTCTCTTTCAGCAATACTTGCCCGGAAGGAGTTTCTTTAGGTCTGCAGAGGATCTCTGAAGTCACTGTGTAGCCTGGTAGTGGGCTAGGTGGGCAGAGTATACTTAGTGTATCAGTAGGGTGACAAAATGTAATATAACTAAGGGCTTATCAATCATCTGCTACATCCCAGCCCAGTGCTCAGTGCTACAGACACACAAGTGAAGCAGCAGCCAGGGAGTCTGGCAGTGACTGGAGCCGCATTGGCTGATGATCTCCTAGGAAATAAAGGGATTCCAAGAGGTGCTACTCTGCCAGGTTAACAGAATTCTTTGTAAATTCTCCAAAATAATTTCAAATAGAATAAAATGATCTTAAAACTTGTAAATTTACAGTTTATTCTTGAATAGCACATTCCACCAAGCCCCGAAGTGTTACTTTTGTACAGGGTTACTGTGTCCAACTTGCATTACTCTGTGGGGTGAGGGAAGGAGCACAGAAGAGCTAATCTCAAGAGAACCTAGGAATGAAAGGTTACAAAATGCATGAAATATTTCTGCTTTGTTTGCATTACTTGAGTCACCTAGGTCATAAAATATCCTAGGGCAGGGAAACCCATTTTGTATCTTCTCTATCCTTTCCTTCAGTGCTTGGGTACAAAAACACTTATTTAGTTGCATTTTAATTTCTGTGTCAGACCAAAAAAAAAAAAAGTAATTTGATTACACCCTATTTGGATTAGCCCATAAGGAAAACATCTACACTCAATTAAAAATATTCCCTTTGAAATATTTTTTAAAAGGTCAAATCTAGTGAAATCTCAGCATAGTTTGGTTTAAACTGTGAGAACAGAGGAAGTTTCATCACTATTGATAGTAACTAGTCACTGGGCTCCTGCATGTGAGGCAATGTGCGAAGTGAAACAGCTCGGGTGTTAGGAGCAAGGGCTTTAGTCTCATTCTGATTCTTCTTGCCATTTTAGCAGTGACCTGACCTCTCAGAGCTACAGGATTCCTGTTTTCAGAATGGGGATGATGGCATCTATTTTATAGCATTATTGAGAAAATTAATTGAGATGGAATACTTCTGTACATACAGTAATAGTGGTGACAATTTTTGAGTATTCAATATTATAAAAATATTCTACCCCTTTTATTTATCAACTCATTTAAACTTCACAATAATTCAAGGAGATGAATGTATTATTACTCCTCTTTTAGAGATGAGGAAATTAAAGCACAGAGTTTTTTTTTAAACCCTTAACATTTTGTATGTATATAAATGTGAAATCACTACATTGTGCACCTGAAACAAAAATAATATCGTATGCCAGCTATACCTCAATAAAAAACAATCAGTGACTACAAAAACACCTTGCCAAGGTCACCCAGCTGAGCAGGAATTCCAACTCAAACAGTCCAGCTCCAGGTTCTCTGTGTTCTCAACCACCTCCATTTTGATGCCCCCATTGGAGCAGCTCATTACCTGCCCATTTCTCCTTGCCCTGGATTCTGATATAAAAAATGAAACAGGTCCTGCCTTTCCAGAAATAGTTACACTGAGGACCCAGGACATAGGCACAGAGAAAAGGCAACACATGGCGCAGGCAGTCAAATGCCAGGGAAGGGATATTCACTACAAGCTCTCCAGAGGTTTGGAAGAAAGAAAATCATTGGGATGTGGGAGTCAGCAAGATTTTGTAATGTTGGTGGAACTTAACTTGGGTCTTCAAGGGAAAACAGAACTAAAACCAGCAAAGAGGAGTTGGGAACATTATTTCAGATAGTGGGGACAGTAAGGACAAAGTTTTCTGTGCTTAGGTAGGTCAGTGGAGAAGATACTTTCTATATGAGAGCTCAGCCTAGAGAGCAGGAGGCGGTTTAAGGTCATCTTGTAGGATGTTTTTAGAGACCAGAGAGGAGGGCAGACCTCCTACTGGAGAGCCACGGGGGGGTGGGGGGTGGGGGAGGGTTCGGAGTGGCTGTGTGTGCACATATGCCAAGTGGTGCCAAGCAGTGCTTTCAAAAGGCTGATAAGGCAGCAGGTGTACAGCATGGAAGGAAAGGACAGACAAAAGACCACAAGAGTGTACATACCTACATTCAGACACTTCCTGATTGTTCCAGCGATGATGACCTGGCTGGTGGATAGTCTATGGCCTCTCGCACCTTCGCACCTCCTGCCTGCCCTTTTGGCTTGTCTCCTGCTTGTGAGCACCTGGGGGTGGGGATAGGGGCAAAATGATTTTCCAATTAGTCTTTTTTTTTTAAATTTTATTCTTCTGTTGTTTCTTAGTAGTTGTGGTTATAAAGTTGTTGTGGGAAAGAGAAATATTTTGTAGATGATTAGAACTTTTTTTTAATGCTACTTATAGTCCCTTTATTGAATAATTTGCTGATAAAGAGCAGAGATCACATTTGAGTCTAACCCTGAAATATGTAATTATTAATTCCCTTTGATCAGAGATGGACTTACAAATTAGGGGCTACTTCCAGATAATGTTCTTGTGGCAGAACCTTGTTTCTGATCTGACTGCTGAGGTTATTAGGTAAGAGTGTTCAAATGTACTCTCTTTAAATAATGCAACATATTGTGTATCTTCAGACTGGCCTTTTTTATAGCCATATGATGATTATCCATATCAATCATTCTTATCTTTGTTACAACTTGAATAAATCAAACAATTTCTGCTTCTTCCTCAGTTGAATATAGATTGTAGGAGACCTGACTAATTGTCTAGATGCAGAGAAAATGTTTGGCTCTATTGTCATATTAAAGGGATAGAAAAAAAAGAAAGAGATGGGAAAATGAAACAGATTTGCAATATCAAACTTTTTATAAAAAGCAATATTTCATTGTTATTTCAGGTTATTATTAAGAGTGTATATGACAGCTAAATAGATTGTAATAAATCAGGTCCAATACATTATGATCACTAATATATACTTGATAATAGTAGACATAAAAATTATTCCAGTCCAAAGGTCAGTATATCCATTTTGTACTTGGGCCCCTTGTAATTTAGGGGGCAAAGCATGCATACACACACACACACACACACACACACACACACACACACACAAAACCTCTTCAAAAAAGAAAAAAGACCTTAAAATTGTATACACTAGGCTAATAGCCAGCTACCAAATCAGTTGTCGCTTTTCTGATTAACAAACTTTCATACAGTATTTCCAGTCCTTCCACTTGACTCTTCATCAACTCTACCTCACAATCTCAAGTTGCCTGAATAGTTCTAGAGAAACCAGAGAATGAATAGAAAAAGTACATTTAGTTATTTTAGGACATGGCACACATCACTAGTGTCCACTTATTAGCCAGAAAACTGGCTCCTTTACCAGTGAAAACTTTTGGGCGTGTCTGTAGGCCTGCTGACCTCGACAAGACAAAGCAAAACAAAGCCTCAACTACTCTGCTTCTCAATTTATTTGATAAACGAGAATTATTTCTGAAGCTCCCAAATAAACAGAAATCATTATAATTATGAATAATTAAATGCTAAACTCAAGAGGGCACTCAGCATTCATTACACTGTAGAATTTGTCTCCTAAGGGCAGTACTTCAATTAGTTCAGTTTTTACAACAGAAGAAAAATGTGACAATCAGTAATTGCAGGTATTTAGTACATGGAACAAAGCAAGCTTATTGCCTTTAAATCACTCTTCTCAGCCAGCAGAGGCACTGCTCTCCTTTAGATTCTTAATATGTGTACCAATTACAGAACACAGAAAAGCAATAGATAACATTTAGCCTTCAGAGCTGTAAGTAGATGCAGCTTTGTTATTCTAATTAAGTGAAGTAAAAAGTAAAATACAAATATAAACTTTGGAGTACATAGTCACCATTTATAAAATGAAGCTTCATTATTCTATTGCTCCCAGTATTAGTATAGTTTTTTTTTAACAAAATATATCCATTTTCTTTGCAGTAAGGAAATGCTATTATAAATTTTAGAATTTTTTCTTAGGTGTGTATGGAACTAAAATAAAAGTCAAGTTGAAAATGGTTTAGCAAATAATAATAACAGTTTTGTACATCAGAGACTGTAGTAGAGCAGATTTTTTTTGTTCTGATTCAATTTCAAATTGACAACCATGACCCCAGAAAGGGTTATCTCTTACTAGCTGCCACGTTGGGGAGATACATTTTGTCTTTCATTTAAGTAGAGGAAAGAATTCATTAGAAATATGGTATAAGTGGTTTCAGAATGATAAATCTCAAGTTACCAATTCCAGTTTTAATGATTAGTTGCCTGAGTCTTTTGTATTTAATTAAAATGGTTACTTTAAATGCTTATATTTAATTTAAACATAATTAGCTAAACCTCAGTGTTACTACCTCATCCATTTTGAAATTAATTAATTTAGAAAAAAGCTTAAAATGTACTGTGAAATTTTAATATTAAAATAAATTAGGATCAGTTTGCATCTTCTCTTGGTTTCAGTTGTGAACCATTAGTGAGCCATTTATACTAGGTATGACTGCAGGGTATCTAGAATGGCTAATATGCAGTAGAATCAAATATTGATATACCATTAATGTTTCCTTTGTACATATGATATGTACATTAACCTCCTGGGCAATAATTGCCTATAGTCAAGGATATGATTGTTTAAACCTTAAAGGGATCTAAATTTTACAATGTGATTTTGGCTTTAATGCACTTAGGAGAAACCACTGCTTTTAGCAGATGATTCATAAGTGTGTAATAATCAGTATACTTTCTCTGAATCTGTTTGATAATGAAACTAGAAAGTGTTTTCAAAGAAATGTTCTGATTTTCACTTCTTATAAACAACATGGTTTATCTACATAGGAACCAAGAGAGAACAGGCAGTAACATAGAATAATTTTTCCTGATCTATAGAACATAAGGAAATTCTAAAACACTGACAGTAGCCATCTGGAATGGGTTTCCTGGTGCAGTGAGAAACTACATCCATGAATATCCTACAGACCTTGGGGTGCTAGGTGGGCAAAACTGCTAAAACTGCTGTGTAACTTTAATATCTATTATTGACATTGCTACTACTTACTAGGTACTAAGTATGTATTTGATGCTGAACTAAATGCCTAATGGGGGTGTATTATTGACCCATTTTATAGATGAACACAGTAAGGCTCAGGGAGGCACTTGCCCAGGTCACAGAATTAGTAAGTGACAGAGGTAGGATATAGAGCCTCACTCCGTAGCTCTGCACCTCACTGTTCCCAGCTTTCCACTGCAGAGGTCTAAGAAAGGTATTTTCAGTTGTGAGATACAGCCACCACCACCACCACAAAATATTTCTTCCTTACAACAATAGTGAGAGTTAATTAAAAGGTGAAGGTAACACATATGACTTGGCTGTTAGTAACTAAAATCTATTGCTCCAAGTATTAGTCTCTCAAACCAGTATATGAAGAATTTTCTAATATTTATTAAAACCTGGGCATCCCACTCTCCACTGAGCCTTTATGAGGTAGTCTGTTCCTGTCATTCTCTGATATTAGCTCAAACCTTTTGCAACCTCTCCCACCCTTTAGGAATTCAAATTCTGAGCAGGTTCAGCTTACACATCAAGGTTGTGTTGGATAGGTCTCTTCCTTTCACACTAATACTATTATGTGGCATTCCAGGATACCTTTTAGCTGTGTGGTAACTGAAGCAGCATTCTGTATCTCTTTCTTTCAGTCCTTCTCCCTGGTGCCCTAAACGATGAATAATTCTGATTCCAAAGCTAGATTTTTAGGTGACTCTCTGCAAGGGATGTAGGTAACATCTGCAAGAATCCCTCCTATTTAGATAAGATGGTATGAGATTGTGATCTAAGCCAATTATCTATTGATTTTCATTTTAGCATTTCAACTACTAACCATTATCTTAGTCCCAGACATCCTTAGAAGGATTGAAACCTTGGAACCATCACAAACTAATCATAATGGAGAGGTACTATTTGAAGAGTAAGTAGAGGTCGACCTACAGGCACATCTGCTTTGTTCGCCTTGCTAAGGCCTTTAAATACTATCTGTTTTCTGTTCTTTTCTGGCTACCATCTTCCCCTAGGCTAAAATATTTTAAAATGACTGCAGGAAAAAAAACTTGAGAAACTAGTTTAAGATTTTAATTCTGTATTTCATCTGCCAGACAGTGAAATGTAGTTAGCCTCAGCAAGTGTTCCTAATAGATAAGGGAATTGTTGCTTCACATATAATTACATTGAGTCTAATGGTAGACACAACCAACAATGTCATCTTCATACTACTGGAAGTGCTGGTAAGTCTGAAAAGAATCCATTTTGTGGAGGGTCTAGGCTCTTTTTATTTTATTTCAAACCATGGTTATTATGGAATAAAACTGATAATTATTTTGGGGAACAATTTTTGGAATATAAAAAAACTATTGAAGGGTAAATGAAACTGACTGTTGTGACTGGCAAGAAGTTCACGCATTCTGTGTTCCTTTGTGTTTGCTTTGGAATGTTAAGCAGGTCGGGTTCTTTTTAAAAGAAAAAATTTTATTCAGAACATTCTCCCATGAAAGCCCTCTTTGATGAAGTGTCATTTTTTTGATATATTGCTACATGTCTGCCCACATTTTATATTCAAAAAAGGCAAGCAATATTTTAACAACTTTTGACAAGCATAGGGAATCAAACTTCCACAGAATTGACTCTTAATGAGATGCCAAATAACCTATTTTTTCTATTTTGTACTTCTTCATGGCAGGCCACAACATTTTTAATAATATCAGTTTCTGATTGAAAAAAGTACAAAGAAATTAAAGATGAGAAATTAGGATTGGAAAAAAAATCCATCAATAAAATATGTTTTAAGCATATAATCCCAAAATTTGTTGAGAAAGAGAGCTACAGATAGAGCATTTGGTGAATTATAAATATGTAACATTATTTTCTAGAATACTAGCCAAAGGATCTCAAGAAATTTGGCTACCTCTTAATAATACTTATAAGTTACCAACTAAATCATAAATTACAAAATCAAATCATTCTTTATTTTTCACAATGCAGGCTCTGCACACTGAAAGTCTCACTTGGATACCCAGACACCTCAAGTCAGCAAACTGCCCGTCAAGCTGTGTCCCTCTGTGACCCTGCATGAGTGGGTTCTAACTGCTCTCTAGGCCTCTCTGTCTCCACCCAGCCCTGCCCTGGTTCATTCTTTCATCCAGAGCTGCTTCCAATTCCTTGAATGTGTCA